AAAAAAAAAAAAAAAAACATTCCCATAACCATTAATAAACCATAAACACATTAGACTCATTAAAAAGCTGTTTTTTCATTTTGAAATACCTTTTTTTATCTTTAAAATTCGGCGCTGCAATGCAGCGAGTGGCCATGTTTGCTGTGGGAAAAGCTGCTCCTTCTGTGCCCTCTTCTTTCGTCATCCAGGAAAAGGCAAAAAAGCCATTTTCTTTCTTTTTTTTCTTGAACGAGATCTCATTTCAATGACAAAGCAATCCCAGGATGCATTTCGTTGGCACACTGAACTACTTTGCACCTGGAAAGCAGCAAGTGAATACTCTGCATGTGTAAGTATCTCAGTATAACAACATTTTACACCTGACATGTCTCTGTTGTTATTAACCCCTTCATGACTGAGGCCTTTTTTTTCTTTTCATTTTGCACCCATGTTATATTCCACATTTTAGGCCTGAAAATTATTTAAAACCCCCAAACATTATATATTTTCTGAAAGCCAAGACCCTTTAGAATAAAATGGTGGCAGTTGCAAATTTGTATGTTGCACAATATTAGCACAACTCCTTATCAAACCCCAACATTTAGTGAAAAATGCACTTAAATGCCCCAAAAACACAATAAAATACCCATTTGTTTAATAAAATATAAAAGATGAGGTTACAACAAGTAAATAGATACTCAACATCCCAGGTTAAAAATTGCGTGCATCCGTGAAACGGCGACACTATTCAGTTTCCCAAAAAGTCCATAGGGGACGCTTTAAAAGCCCCCACAGGTCATTAGTTTAGAGATACCCAAAAATACTGGCCCTAGAATTATTGCTTGCACTCCAGCTTGTGCGGCGATATCCAACATGTGTAGTGCGTTCATCGGTTTCATATGTAGGCACACCTGACGTGTCTTTACGTGAACACGCGCATGCTCGCTGGGGCAGGGGACTTTAAGAAATGTTTTTTTAATGATTTTTACATTATTTTATTTAATGTTAATTTTAAAAACTTATTTTTTTTTCTTTAATTGCTATCACATAGGGGGGCTTACAAGCCCCATGTGATAGCAAATGGTGGTGACAGGTACTCTTTAAGGTGATGCTGGGGGTCCAGCATCACCTTTACACTCTCAACAAGCTATTGAAGTGCAGATCACACTTCAATAGCTTATAGCTGGGCTTCAGGAGCCCAGCACTGACAGCTATGGGACCTGAAGTGATGCAAGCCAGTCCCCGGCCTGTTAGGAGGGGCAACGGAGCACAGGAAACACGGGGGGGTTGTCAGTGGGGGTGTCGGGCAGGGGGGACCCATTCACCGGCCCATAGAAGCGATCTGGCGGCGGCTGAGCCGCCAGAATTGCTTCTACTGTAAAGCTAACATTCGGCTTTACAAGTTTAACCCCTTCATGACTGAGGCCCTTTTTTCAATTTTTGCACCCATGTTATATTCCACATTTTAGGCCATTTAAACAGCCCCGATGCCAGTGACAAACAGTGTGAAGGGGTTAATCAGCATAGAAAGAGGAATGCATTGGTGTGATTTGAGATTTAAGTGTAAAGATCTGCTTTGATCGCTTGCCATCTGCCCGTTGTAAATACACGGGTGGGAGGCAACCCCTTCCCGGCGGGTGGACGTACCTGTACGTCATTTTTTTTTTCTTTGTGCGTACGCTGCAGTTGGTACCGGCTCAATATATGATGACAAACAATGTGCATCTCCCTTCTGTGCTCTCCCCACCTCCACCATCCACCCCCCCTCCTCCACAGCCGCCGAGGTTTATCCCGAGCTCTACTATTACCCCCCATTGCCCTTCCTACGATCCCATATCCCTTTCCTTTGCATTTCCCATTTGCTATCAGCTAACCCGTTTCTGTGTTCCTTCCCCCTCACTGCTACCTTTTCTGGGCCCCTCTCAGAGCCTTAATGCTTGCCACTCCTTTTTTATAAATTCACTTACTATTCACTATCTAACCTATTACTGTGCACTTTTCTGTTCATTGTATATTAATAATGTATTATGCTCTTCTCATTCACTGTCCCCTAATTATTAACTATGTTCCATCTATTCACTGTATGTTGATTAATCCTCTACTATATCTCCTATGGACCTTCTACTGTACTCCAACCACATATTGACACAATTTAGTTAGCATTGCAATACTGAGAATCTAACTATACATCAAGCCTTTTCCTAATAAATTAGGAAGAGTGACGTTAAGCTTTGATTTAACTGATTAT